GTTCGGGGGCAGCCACGGGCCTGAATGCCGAGCAAAGCGCGCAGCGCCGCCATCTCGCGTGCACACGCCCTGGCGGCGTCGCTCACTGCGCGGTGCAGCGCCTCCGCAAAAGCGCCCCCGCCCTCGCCCTCGCCCTCGCCCCCGCCCTCGCCCTCGCCCCCGCCCTCGCCCTCGGCCTCGGCCGGGAGGGGCTCGCCGAGGAGCGCCTCGAAGACGCGCGCCTCGAGCAAGTGCTCCGTCTGTTCACAGCGAGCCGGCGCGTGAAGAGACGCCGTCCACACACCGCCCTCGCCTCCTTCGACCGGGCCGCTGGCGCCGTGCGGAGGAGCGGCAGCGCCAGCCTCGCCTCCCTCCGGTGCTGCCGCAGCAGCAGCAGCAGGTCGGAGGCGACACACTGGAGGTGGCGGCGAGGCGCCTGCAGGAGAGGGGCGGTCTAGGACAAGTCTAAGGAACGGACCGGGACGGCTCCAGGAACGGTCCAGGAAGGGTCTAGGAACGGACCGGGACGGGTCCAGGAACGGTCCAGGAAGGGTCTAGGAACGGACCACGCTCGAAGCACCACCGCCAGGTGCTTGTCGAGCTCGGCTAGATCTCGCTCGTTCTCGGCTAGATCTCGCACGATCTCGGCTAGATCTCGCACGATCTCGGCTAGATCGCGCCCCCGTCAGGTGTTTGTCGAGCGCCGCACGGGCGCCGCGCAGAGTCGACTCGGTCAGGCCTGCAGCCGAGAGAGGCAGCCGATCTGCACCCAAGCAACCCGCATCTCGCATCTCGAGGCTGCATCTCGAGGCTGCATCTTTAGGGTTCTTGAGGGTGTGTCGAGGCTATCTCGAGGCTATCTCGAGGCTGCATCTCGAGGCTATCTCGAGGCTGCATCTCGAGGCTATCTCGAGGCTGCATCTCGAGGCTATCTCGAGGCTGCATCTCGGCTGCATCTCGAAAGTGCATCTCGGCTGCATCTCGAGTGGCCTCCGGCGGAGACGCTGAGCCCCCGCAGCGCGGGGAGGCGGTACTCGCTCAGCGCGAGGAGCGGCGCCTGATCAGAGCGTGGCTGATGGCACAGCGGGGTGTGAGCAGGAGGGGCTGGCTCAGCGCGAGCAGCGGCGCCGTCACGCCGAAGCAGACGGCGGGCACCAGGAAGTCCGCGGACCTGTTCACAGCAGTAGGTGTGAAGAGACGCTGTTCACACCCAGCAGACAGCGGGCACGAGGAAGTCCGCGGACGTGGCTGGCGCGGTGCAGGTGGAGTCGGACGGGTCGTGCACCTGTGTCATGATTAACGTGCACCGGTCACAGTACTGTTGGGTTCGTCGTGTGGCGCGGGTGTCGTCGGGGGCGGCACCCAGAGTGTGCATCACCGCATGGAGATGGAGATGGACATCGGGGCTGAGGCGTGAGTGCCGTCTCGGGGCGTGCACTCGGAGCACCGCGCGGCCACACGTGCGACACATGCCGTGCGCATAGCTGACACCGGCAGGAGAATGCGAGGGCTGTGGAGTGCGCGCGCCGCGCTCGGAGCGGGGTGTGCGTGTCTACTGGCTTGCACAAACAGGGCGGAGAGGGGCGCATCTACAGCAGGAGCACGAAGATTCGGCGCAGCTCGGGGGCGCGCGCGACCGCGGGAAACCGCTTCTCGCTCAGCAGCGCGGAGAGCGACACGGCGGCTAGCTCGCGCACGCGGTCGATCTTCTCGACGGCCTGTTTACAGCGTGAAGCGTGAAGAGACGCCGTTCACAGCTCGCGCACCCGGTCGATCTTCTCTCGACGGCCTGCTGGGAGAGGGCCGCGGCGAGCCGCTGGCAGAGCGAAGGCAGCGCGGCCCGCAGCGCCTCGGCCTCGGCCTCCGCCTCCCCCTGAGAAAGAGGCGCGTGCGCCGTCAAAAGCAAAAGCGGGTGCCGCGCGGCAGCCCCACTCGGCTGCAGCCTCCGCCTCCGGGGGTGGCGAGAGTTGCGCCGCGTGCGAGTCGGCGTTGCTGCCCGGCGCGCCGTGCTCGGGAGGGGTGGCGAGGCGGAGGAGGGGGAGCGCGGCATGCATCGCCGCCTCGCGGACCCAACTGCCGACGTCCCCTCGGTTGTCCGTCTGGTAGTCCCCAAAGGCGTCCAGACACGCCTGCTCACACCCGGGAGTGTGAAGAGACGCCCCCTTTCACAAGTGGCAGTCGTCCGTCCATCCAGCCAAGCCTCGAAGATCTCGAGGAAGAGCGGCGTGGTCAGCCCGCCTACGATCTCTCTCGTACCGCGCCAGTCCACAGCGCGCGCATGTGCAGGCGAGGAGACGTCGGCGTGGCCAAGCCGCCCTCGGAGCCGGTCGCGACGAGCCCCGCCGTCTGAGAGAGCTCGACCTGTTCACAGCGGGAGGCGTGAAGAGACGCTGTTCACACGAGCTACGCCGCCGGGGAGAGATCCCCCCACCAGAGCAGAGATCGCGTTGCGGCGCGTCTCGGGGTCGCGCAGCTCCGCCACCGCCTCCGGGCGCGACGCCTGCATCGGCGAATCACGAGTGGTGCTCGGTGGATAGTGAAAAGTGAGTTGCATGACCGCCTCCGGCCGAGAGGGCCTGGACGAGCGCCGCGACGGCGGCAGGGAGGGAGGCGCGCAGCTGGGGGGAGGGCAAGGCGCCAAGGGCAAGCGCATGCCCGCGCCGCAGCCCCGCGTTCGGGTCCTAAGAGGACACTCGTGGCCGCGTCACCACGCATGCCGACCAACTCCCCGCGCCGCAACCCCGCGCTCGGGTCCTTGCCCAGAGGGATGGCGTACCGCGCCACCAAGTCCAACGGCGCCTGCCCCGCCTCCCCGCCGCCAGCAGCGCCTCCGCCGCCGGCGTCCTCCCCGCCGCCGCCAGCGCTCTGCCCGCTGCCAGCCGCCCTGCTGCCGCCGCCCGTGCTGCCGCCCGCGCTGCCGCCGCCCGTGCTGCCGCCGCCCTCCGAGAAGTAGGCGCGGGAGAGCTGCCGCAGCGCCGCCACCGCGGCGAGCGAGATCTGCTCCGTCGGGTGCCTACGGCGAGGCACCGGGAGATCTGGGGAGATCTGGGGAGCTCTGGCGAGATCTGCTCGGTCGGGTGCTTGATGCTGTCGTCGAGGGAGGCGAGGCTGCGGAGCGCCGCCTTCGGACCGCACGGCATCCGCACCGCCGCGCACACCTCGAGCATGCGACAGACGCCGATTGCTGATTCGATTGGCCTGGCTAGTGCCATTCACGATGGGCCACGCACCTCGAGCATGCGGCACACAGCGCCGCGCATCGCCTCGCCGCCCCGGCCGCGGTACAAACGCGCCTTCTCCACGGCGGGCACCACGCCCGAGATCGCCTTGCGCAGCTCGGGCGGCAGCGCGGCGCCGCTGCCCGCGTGGCGAGCGCGGCAGAGGGCGAGAAGCACCTGCCAGTGTACGTGTACGTGCGATGAGCGTGCGATGAGCGTGCGATGAGCGTGGGATGGGCGTGCGATGAGCGTGTGATGGGCGTGTGATGGGCGTGTGATGGGCGTGTGATGGGCGTGTGATGGGCGTGTGATGGGCGTGTGATGGGCGTGCGATGGGGGGCGAGTGATGAGCGTGCGATGGGCGTGCGATGAGCGTGTGATGGGCGTGTGATGGGCGTGTGATGGGCGTGTGATGGGCGTGCGATGGGCGTGCGATGGGGGGCGAGTGATGAGCGTGTGATGGGCGTGTGATGGGCGTGTGATGGGGGGCGTGTCGCGGAGGTTGTGTGCCGGCGTGATGATGACTATTGACGACGGACTATTCGCTTCTGGTGGGCGCCTCCGCCGCCATGTGGACAGCGCCGGTCCTCTCCTTGAGGTCGAGCGAGAGGGCGCGCTTGCACAGCGCCGGCAGCATCACCTGCACGAGTATGACTGCCACTCCTCCCATTGATCGCACCGGCCCTCCTGCACAGCGCCGGCGGCAGCACCTGCACAGTCCACTCGGGCGCTAGCGGCGCCGCCCTCGCCGCCGCCTGCACCGCGAGCAGCCGGACGACCTCATATCTCCCCACATCTCCCCACATCTCCCCACATCTCCCCACATCTCCCCATATCTCCCGCGAGCAGCCGGACAACCTCATCTCCCCAGATCTCCCCAGATCTCCCTGTATCTCCCCATCTCTCGAGCATCCGGACGCCCTCATCGACAATGCACATCCACACGGACCAGAGCTTGACCGCGGCACTACTCGCCGCCTGCGCAGCCAGCAGCCGGACGGACTCGTCCCAGTGCCGGCTCTTGACCTAAGGCAGACCAGGAGCGCGACACGTGTGGACACGAGCTCATTGGCAGCCGCAAGTGACGGCGCTGCTGCCTCGAGCAGGTGGCGGAGCAGCATGGGGCGGTACTCCTCGAGCGAGGCGAGGAAGGGGGCGACGCGCAGGTACGCCTAAAAAAAGAAAATACGTCGAACAGGACGCCGTATTCCTTTGTTTAGGCGACGCGCAGGTAGCGCAAGTATGCGTTCGGACGCGAGCCGAGCGCGAAGTAGTCAGCCCTGGTCACGATCTCGATGCCGTGGGGGAACGAGCCCTGCCGCCCCACATTCTCCTAGTCATCGGCGAGCGAATCCACTCAGCAATGGCTAGTGCAGGAACGAGCCCTGCCGCCCCACAGTCTCCTGGAAGGCGGCCGAAGCGGCGCGCCGCACGTTCACCTCGCGGTCGAACGTGACGACGACGAGAAGCGACTGCGCCTAAACAAGAAATACGGGCTTCTGGCCACACTGTATTTCTTTTTTAGAACGTGACGACGACGGGCAGCGACTGCGCCAGCTGAGCGACGTGCGGCGCCATCACGGCGGCGTCGAAGGCGCGCGCGAAGGCCCAGCAGACGTAGCAGGCCGCGTCGCGCACGTGCGTCCCGACCGACGTTGTGCCGCGAGGGACGTCGTAGTGCAGCGCCGACACGACGCGAGGCAGCACCTGGGGGTGCGGTCCTCGGGCGGGGCCTTCATCTACCGGTACTCACCCACCGCGCCGACACGACGCGAAGCGGCGTGTTCGGGTGAGGGTGTTCGGGTTAGGGTGTTCGGGTGAGGGTGTTAGGCTTAGGGTGTTAGGTCAGGGTGTTCGGGTGAGCGGCACCTCCGGCAGCCGCGCAGGCAGCAGCAGCCCGCGCCGCGCCAGCTCCGCCAGAGCAAGGCAGCCGCCGTGCCACGCGCTCGCCTGCTCGTCCGGCGCGAGCAGGTCGACGGCGCCTCGAAGAAGAAACACAACGCCGTGAGAGAGACATGTACGCCGCCTCGCTCCTCCGGCGCGAGCAGGTCGACGGCGCCTAAAAAAAGAAACACAACTGGGCAAGAAAACGCCGCCTCGCTCCTCCGGCGCGAGCAGGTCGACGGCGCCTCCGACGACGTCGTCCGCGAGCTCGAGCGGCAAGCGGTTTGTGATGCGGCCGATGCCTTTGGCGGAGGACCTGAAGAGGGAGGACAACGGCCGGGACCTTCCTCAGCGATGGACTCGCGGCCGACGCTTTGGCGGAGGAGCTGCGCACGACGGTCTAGGAAGAGTCAGGGAAGAGTCTAGGAAGAGTCTAGGAAGAGTCTAGGAGGAGTCTAGGAAGAGTCTAGGAAGAGTCTGGGAAGAGTCTAGGAGGAGTCTAGGAAAGGACCAGCGCACGACGGTGTCGGAGTCGCGAAGCCCCGACAGGAGCTGCTCGAGGATCGACTCGACCGCCTCGGGTACCAGGCCCTCCTCCTCCTCCTCCCCCCCCTCCGCACCAGCCGCTGCCTCGCCCGCCGCCGCCGCCGCCGCACCCTTCCCTCCCGGCGGAGCAGCGCCGGCGTCTGCTCCCGCGAGCGCGCCGAGCTCGCCGCCGAGGTTGAGGAGGAGGGAGCGGGCGCCTGCTTGTCACTCATCCAGGCCCGTCGAGACTGCATTCACGACACGCGCGCAAGACGGGGGAGGGGAAGGGGGGGGGGGGGGAGGGGAGGGGCGGGTGGTGCGGGCGCCGCGGGTGTAGCGCCACGCGGCGACGCGTGGAGGGAGGAAGACGAGGGCGACGCGCTGCAGCAGCTTGATGCCTGATTGGCGAGTGGTCCGACGGGTAGTGAGTGAACTAACAGACGAGAGGGCGGCGCGCTGCAGCGGCTCGCTGCCCAGCTTGCGCCGCACGACGGAGGAGTCTAGGAGGTGTCTAGGAGGTGTCTAGGAAGTGTCTAGGAAGTGTCTAGGCTCGCTGCCCAGCTTGCGCCGCACGACGGAGGAGTCGCCAAGCAGCGCCGCGGGCGCGGCGATCAGCGGCCCGAGGTGCACCTGCAGCTCCTCGGGAGGAAGTGTCTAGGAGGTGCCTAGGAGGTGTCTAGGAGGTGTCTAGGCAGTGTCTGGCCCGAGGTGCACCAGCTGCGGGAGGAGCTCCTCGCGGTGGCCGAGCTTGAAGATAGCGGCCAGAGTCGTGTAGATCCCGACCGTTAGGAAAGAGGCGGTGCCTAAAAAAGAAACACACGGGGTTGCGGCCAGAGTCGTGTAGATCCCGACCGTTAGGAAAGAGGCGGTGCCGACGGCGGCGGCGCCGTCGCCGCGGCTGCCCTGCGGCGAGGCGGCGGCCGGGCGAGCGCAGGGTAAGGGTTAGGGTAAGGGTCGGGGCTAGGGCTCAGGGTAGGGCTAGGGTGAGGGTGAGGGTCAGGGTTAGGGTTAGGGTCAGGGTTAGGGTGAGGTCCAGGGTGAGGGTGAGGGTGAGGGTTCCTGCAGCGATGCGGCGCCCCAGACGATGAACTCGCGGAGGGCCGGCTGCAGCCCTGGCCGCGTGAGCAGCCGCGCGCAGAGCGCCGCTGCGGCGTCTCTCTCCGGGCCGGGCGAGGAGAGGTGCGAGCGTGCGAGCAGCTCGATCCTACGTGTGAATGGACGAGGGGTGGGGCCGTCTAGTCAGGAGAGGCGCGAGGGAGCGAGAAGCTCGATCCGACGCACGAGCGGCACGGGGGCGTCGGCGTCGGCGTCGGCGTCGGCGTCGGCGGAGGAGGAGGAGGAGGCGGAGGCGGCGGAGGCGGCGGACGAGTCGATGATTGAGAGGTCAAACGGCACCATCACAACCATTGACAGCCAGACCATGAGGGAGTAGGAGATCTGCCAGGTGTCTCCGTCCTCCGGCGCCAGCGTGCCGAGCAGCCCGACCAGCGGCTCGAGGTCGCGCGCCTCGTGCGGCACGAACTTGACCACCGTCTTGTAGCCGCGAACCTTGCAAAGCGTGTACATGACGCGGCACGGCGGCCGCAGCGAGGCGGAGACGGCGGCGCCGCCGGCATGAGCGAGCGTGCGCACCACCGAGAGCAGCGGCACCACCAGCAGCTCCAGTGCCGGGTCGAGCACGCCCGGCTGCTCCTGGTAGCGGTCGAGGATCGTGCAAACACGCTCCGCGGCAGCGGCCGCCTCGTCGCCGCCGCCGCCGAGGGAGCCGATGAGCTGGGCCGCCTCCTCCGCCTCGGTGAAGAGCAGGCGCGCCTCGACCACCTCGTCGACTGCGTCGGGCTCGGGCGGAGCGTTGAGGCTCTCGTTGTTCGTGGGAGAGACCATTTGCTTGGGCCGTTGCGACCGGCTGGCCTGGGCGTGCAACTTCAGTCGGCCTCAGTGGCGCGTGTTCTCACCAGAACAGTGCCTCCGCGGCGCTGCGGCGGCGCCCGAAAGGCCGATCCGACCCGGCAGCCCCCCGGAGCGTGCATCCAAGCGTCCGCCACCGCCGGCTCAGCCCCGGCTCGACATGACTCTGGCCCGCGCGGGGTCGCCGACGGCGCCGAGTCGGCGCCAGAGGCACGCCCGGCGGCCGGATGGTCGCCTCGAGCGCTGAGCGGCTGCCGCCACGGTCACTTACGCTCGAGTTGCGCCAGGTGCGCCTCTCGGTGGCCCGGCGCGGCCGCACGTGCTCTCTGTAGATGTCTGCTCTCACTCGACGGCAGGCGTGCTCCGTGCTCTCGCCCGATTCTCTCCCTGCCGCCGGCCTCCGCCCCCGAGCGACCGCCGCCGCACACCGACTATTGCCGGTATGACTGCCGTCCCTCACTCAGCCGTCCGTTTGTCCTCAGCGCTCGCACGACCGACGTTCTTCCTCCTCTGCGGCCTCGCTCGGGCCCGCTCGTCGACACGCGCAACCAGCAGACGCCCGTGTCGGAGCTTCTGTGCCGGCTTTGAGCTTCCATCGCTGATGGGGGCACGCCCGGCCCGGCACTCTCGCACACCGTGGAGCGCGGCACCGCGCGCGCTCACGCCGCCCACCTTTGCTGCCTGCGCAGGTGCGGCTCTGTCCCGGCGGCTCACTCATCGAGCACCTCACGGCTGCGCGGCGGCTCACTCATCCGCACCACCGCGACCGGTGCGCCATCCCACATCACGCCTCTCGCCCACGTCCACCCGCACATACACTCTCTCACTCTGTCATGAGTAGTCTTCAATCGACACGGTCTCTTGGAGTAGTCACATCAGCACCGGCGCCGGCACAGCGCACCGCTACACTCGCCTCCGTTAGGTTGCAAACATCGCCCTCAACATCCGCTTGCGCCTCACACGTCCGGGGGCAGTGTCGCGTGAGCCACAGCTTAGCACCGACGCCAGGCTCTTAGCTGTTAGCTCTACGTGTACGTGTGTGTGTGGTGGGGGGGGGAGGGCGGCGTAGTCAAAAGAAAAGCCTCAGTCGAGAGAGGCTAGTAGCCCCTTCGAGTGCGGGCTCCGCGCCCGTCTTGTCCTGGCATATAAGAGAGGCGAATGGGACAGGGGTTGAAGGGGTACACGCTTGGTACCCGGCCGTTTTTCGCGTTTCTCTACAAAACTGTGTCCAAGCCGAAGGCCCGAAGCGCAGGTCCGAGCTCGACATGCGACCAACGTGGTCCCGCACACCAGTGCTCGTGCTCGCACGTGCGGCCGCCTCTCCTGCTCGACTACTCGTGCTCTGCCTCTGCGCGCTCGCTGCGTCCGTGCCACTTCTTCGCTGCCTCTCGCCGCTGCTCCTGTCCTTGACTGCGCCTCGGGTCGAGGCGCCAGCAGCAGCGTCAATGGAGTGGCTGGTCCACACTGCAGCAGCGCCGCGGGCGGACGCGAGAAGGCAAACGCGACCGTGCCGATGAGCGCGAGCAGAAGCAGCGGGAGCGCGGGGCAGCACGACGGGTCGGGCAAGTTCTTGGCCCAGCGCCGCGCCTTGCCCATGCTGCCGCCGCCGCCGCCGCCGTCGGCGTCGCCGACCACAGGCTCGTCGTCCGGCGCGGCATCGTCGTCGGCGGCAGGGGGTGGGGGGTCGGCGGGCACGTCCTCGTCGTAGCCGTCGTCATCGGGATCAGGAGTGGCGTATCGCGCGGTCGACATGCCGGCGAGCTCGTCGACCGTCGAGTAGGTGCCTGCGACCGAGCACGGGGGTGCGTGACGCTCGGACCGACGCATGGGACCGGCTCTTCCGCGCGTCGAGAGCGGCGACGCTTTCGAGGCGCGCGGCAGAGGCCCGCGGCGTGCTTCCGAGCGCGTCCGCGGCCGCGACGCGGCAGCGGGAGGTGCCCCGCCCACCAAGGCAGCCGGCCCGGCCGCTGCGGGGCCGTCGCGGGGGCGCAGGCGGGCGGGGCGACCTCAGATTTCGCGGCTGGCAGCGGGCGCCGCCAGCCGCGAAATAAAAGCCAGACGTCGGTACTCGCAGAATGTGGGTAAACGAAAGTACCGTATTCGGTACTATCAAGAAAGACACCGAAAAAAGTCGCCACGGCAGTCCACGACGAGCCAGCCAGCTGCCGGCTCGCACGGCAGCCTCTTCCTCTCGACCAGCCTCAACTTCCGTACAGTCAACATTTTGTCGCTGCGTGCTCGTGGCGAGCTGTGGCGGCGGTCGAAGTTGGCCCAGATTCGGTGACGAGCGCCGGACGATAGTACCGCCTCTGTTCGCCCTGTGCATGTCAGGCCAGGCTGCAGCAGGGCACTACCAACGTGCTGCCCAGTTGCAGCCTGACTTTGCCCACTGTGCACAGTCGCCAGAGCACCACCACCGCCCGGCATCGTGTCACGGCGAGCTCCTTCTGCGCCCGCTCGCGAGGCTCTCGCGCTGGCACACTTTGGCCATCTGCTGCTCGCGTTCGGCGAGCTCTTCTCCGCACTCCTGCCACGGTGCCGTCACCACACACCTTCTGGCTGGCCTGAGCCGCGCGGGGTCGCCGGCGGGGGCAACGCGTCGACCTCTCTCTCTGGTGCACCACGGGCCGCAACGGCCTGCTAGCAGCGTGCGCGAGGAGGCAGTGTGCCGGCACAGTCGAGCCGGAGCATCGGGTTCTTGATGCTTGTGGGGTCAAGTTTGACCTTATGTGGCATAATATGCAACAATAATGCGATGCTATCTCCCGGCTTTTTGAGATATGATCCCTCAAAGTCGAATTTTCGTTTACGGCTTTACTGGTGACCATAGTACCGTCTGTCCGGTTTGCGTTTCTTCAAACGAAACACTTTAAGTCTCGACAATCACTAAGCTGCTTATGTGGCACCGCAGAGGCTCCCTTGGGGATGCCTGAGGCCACCCCAACCACTCACTAAGCCGTACGTAGACGAATTGGGCGCTACTTTTTTCGTTTACCCACATTATGCGAGTATGCCATGCGCGCGGAAGACACTTGCGTGGATACGTGGCTGGCAGGCTGACCCGTGTGCGGGGTAACCCGCGCACGGGGAAGCTTCACGGGTTCGAGTCGCCAAACATTAAGCAGCGGAGGTGTGCCGAGGGGGACCGGGAGGCGGTAAGCCGTCGTCGCCCGGCGCTGCTTGCAGCACCGTGGCGATGGCGCTAAGAGGTTCCTCTTTTCCGCGCCCCCCCCCCCGCAAGGCGCGCGACACACAGGCGCCTCCGTTTCGTTCACGTGTGTCCGAGCGCCTCTTGTTTGCCTCGCTCTGCAGGCACCAATGGTCCCCCAGGGGTGTGTGAGTGAGTATTCTTGATACGAAACCACGACGACACACACCAGTCGACTCGCATCGGTTGCCTCCATTAACGGCGGAGCTATTCTCGCGCCCACACCACACCTGGCTCCAACGTGGACACGCCCATAGCTGGGGACACTACTAGGTCACGCATGGCATCACAGAAGTTTTATCTCTGGGCCCCAAAAGGCATCTCTAGCAGTGTCGTTACGCATGCGCCCAGATCTGCTCGTCTCAGAGGGTACCCTCTGTGCCAAGAGAGGCCATCCACGAGCGGCTCAAAGGGTGCCTGAGTCTGTCGTGATCCCCCAGCACCAAGCAGAGAAATAAATAAATAAACGCGGTCAAACTCTCTGAGACGAGATGGGATTTAGGGACATGTGTCCCCGCCCTACACGATCTTGGCGTGAGGGATCTTCAATCCGTCCCCTCACCCCTGGTCACTACCCGACACTAGAAGAGCAGCAAGAGTTGGGGCTGCGGCTACGGCTGCGGCTGCGGCTGCGGGAGGGGCTATGGTCGCGGGAGAGCCGCTGCGCCGCGTGGGCGCGCCTACACCGCGCTTGCTCCGCTCGCCACCTCTCGCAAAGGTCCAAAGTCATAGCCATCACCTCCTCCGGCAAGTCCTTTTCGCCTATCTCGCCGTCCCTCCATGCCTGGTAGAGCTCCGTCTCGTCATAGCCATATTGCATCTCACCTAGCAGAGAGAATCCCCCCCCCCCCCCCAGCTTCCATTTTTCGGACAAGCGAGCGCTAGTGAACGCCCAGGGAACCGATATGCCTTACAGTATTTTTATACAATACTCAGGTCCCGGTGGCCGCGGGTGACCACCGCCGCCCACGTCGTCCTCCGACGAGTCGGCGTCGGAGTCTGGGGGGGTGGGAGGGTCGGGGCGCACCCGCTCGCGGTCCTTGGCCGCCTTGCCGCCCGCTCCGCCGCCGTCGCCGCCGCCGCCGCGGCCGCCCGGTGGGGGGTCTCCCCCGTCGGGCTGTGCGGCGGTCTGCAGAACCTGGCCAACACGGTGTGGGCGTATGCGACGGCGGGCGTGGCTGTGGACGCGTTGTACGCGGCGGTGGCGGAGGAGGCAGTACGCGGCGGGCTGGCTGGCTTCACCCCTCAAGCCCTGGCCAACACGGTGTGGGCGTACGCGACGGCGGGCGTGGAGGCGGACGCGCTGTACGCGGCGGTGGCGGAGGAGGCAGTACGCGGCGGGCTGGCTGGCTTCACCCCTCAAGCCCTGGCCAACACGGTGTGGGCGTACGCGACGGCAGACCATTATCACCAGGCGCTGCTTGCCGACTGCTCGCGCGTGATCAGCGACTCGCTCGCGCGGGATCCGTCGAGCTGGAGCGAGGAGGAGCGCTCTCAGCTTCACCAGTGGCAGCTCTGGCTCTCTCTTGAGCGAGGCGAAGACGGGCAGCAGCATCTTCTCCCCGCCCCCCAGCGCAAGCTTTGCCGCGTTGCTATGGTGGCGACCATAGCTCGGCCGTCAGGCTTGCAACGCTCCGTCGCGGCTGCCCTCGCCGCCGTCCAGCACGGCTTCGGAGGAGGAGCATCTCGAGCCGCGCACTGGCTACTCGCTCGACCTGGCGCTGCCCTCGTCACGCATCGCGGTCGAGGTGGACGGCCCCTCTCACTT